AATGGAAAAGCAGAAATGTAAATGCCATCACTGTGTTCACACCATATGCCAAAATAAACTCAGCAAAGGCAGAATTCTGTCTACCTTGTTTGACTATATCCCCATTACCTAGCACCTATAGGATATTTAATAAATATGTGCAAAATGAATAAAATCATAACAAAATCATGGAAAAATATCATGGTCCCAAAACGTAAGTGGTATCAGAATTGTGTTAAATCATGCACTGCTTACAAGAAAGTATATTACCTGCTAAAACTCAGAAACCTTCTAAACTATGCTATTTATAATAGGATTTAACCTATATTGGAAAATAAGACTGATAACTACAACAAAAAAGACTGACAAATCAATTCCAAGTGAGGCTTACAATTATGAGGCTTTATAGCAAAAGCAAAAGACAAGTTACATTTTTTCAAGATTAATGACTTTCCTCTCTCTATCCCAACACCCTGATCAGTGAAAATTATAGAATTTTAGGAGCAGAAGAAACCATAGAGGCTAAACTATGAAACAGATGGGCTCCAATTTCAGAGTAATATAAACTACCACCAATCTATTCCACATTTTTTTGCATAATTACAAATCTAAGATGAGATTTTATGAATATTAATTTGTTCTATTTTTTGGCTGCTGAGCAGTCTGCTGCAAGTTAGAATTATGACTGATGAATATCATAATCTCTCTTTTATGACTTTCATTTACCAAAACTGGGTGAGCGAAGATTTTACCAACGCCAATAGTTCCTCTTTCCTGTTTTCAAGTCAGTTCAACCTACAGCTTTACTATTCTCCCATTCTATTCTTAGACCATATGCTAGTTTACTGTATTTGATTTCTATTATTTATTTATATATGTTAACTGTAGCCAAGCCTTATCTTCTCAAAGACTTAGGAGGTTTACCCTCCTAAAGTGCTCCCCTACCACGTCACTAACAGCAGTGTTTAGTAATTCCTTTGTCATCTGTCTCCCAACTCAAATATCACTTCTATCAGGATAGAGTTGGGTCGGGTGCCATGGCTTACGCCTGTAATCCCAGCACTCTGGGAGGCTGAGGTTGGTGGATCACCTGAGGTCAGGAGTTTGAGACCAGCCTAACCAACAGTGAAATTCCGTCTCTACTAAAAATACAAAATTAGCCAGGTGTGGTGGCACATGCCTGTAATCCCAGCTACTCGGGAGGCTGAGGCAGAAGAATCACTTGAACCCGGGAGGTGGAGGTTGCAGTGAGGCAAGATCAGGCCATTGCACTCCAGCCTGGGCGACAGAGCAAAACGCCGTCTCAAAAATATATAAATAAATATTAGGATGGAGTTGGTTCTGCCTTGTTGGACACTATAGTAAATAGCGTAAATAACAGTCTAAATAGCATAAATACTAGTCCAAATAAGTGTTATTACAATGAATGAATAATTTGGAGGGCAATGGCCTTATCATATGCTTCCTCTAGTAGCTAGGCAGGCAATACTTGAGAACACACCATAGTTTCTACCCAGCTCTGTGAAAACTCGAATGCACTTTACTGCTCGATTGAAATTAAGAACAGACAACATCACACTTGAAACACACAGAGAAAGTGATATAAAACAGTTTATTCAAAGGCAACACAAAGAATTACAGAAGGCCAGGCGAGGTGGCTCACGCCTGTAATCCTAGCACTTTGGGAAGGCCGAGGGAGGCGGGCGGACTGCCTGAGGTCGAGTTCCAGACCAGTCTGAGCAACATGGCGAAACCCCGACTCTACTAAAAATACAAAAAATTAGCTGGCTGTGGCGGTGCGTGCCTGTAATCCCTCCTACTCCGGAGGCTGAGGCGGAAGAATGGCTTGAACCCGGGAGGCGGAGGTTGCAGTGAGCCGAGATCGCACCACTGCACTCCAGCCTGGGCGACAGTGCGAGACTCTGTACCAACATAATAATAATAATAATAATTATTATTATTATTATTATTACAGATTATTTAGGATGAGTTTGCAGTATTCCATTACCATCACTGTGAATGATCTTCCAATAAACACTGCTAAATGACTTCACTGTCTGGTGACTGAGTTTTCCTCTGTTAGAGAACTTATATGAACGTACTAAACTCGTGAATGACTACTTTCCATAACCTTAACAATAATCCTGAAAGTTAAAAGGGAAAGCCGGCAGGCAGTTTTAAAGACAACTCTTGAATAAAAACATAGAAGTAATTTTTCTCTTACTTGTGAAAGACCGGACAATTTTCCCTGCAACCTTCCCGCCTTTGCTGGTTGCATAGTAAAAATTAGAAGTAGGAAAATTTAGAATACTTCCATCTCCTTTGAGTCACGAACTTGGAAAGGAGACACAACTGCGGGGACAGACGCATGTGCTCTAATGAAAGCAGGAAGTCCGCTTCTTGAGCATGGGCCATTCACCCATCATCACAAATGGGAACACCGGCCTTAAGTCCATCCCCATTCCCTTCTAACCCTGAAGCCAAAGCCAGTCTCAGTAGGAAACGCGATTTTGCTAGATGAGTTAGAGAAGGAGCACCAGACAGCTCAGGACACCCTCCTCCTTCTACTTGGCCTGCGGCAGGAGGATACTCCCCGGGTTCCAGCCAGTGGAGAAGGCGGACCCGGCAGGCAACAGCGAAACAGCCTTGGCCGGGAAGGAGCGCGGCCAGTCCACGCGGCCGGAGAACTCACCGAACAAAGCGCACCGCGGAGCGGGAGGGGACACTCGGAAAGAGGGGGAAAGATTCAACCAACTCTTCACCACTGCCTGGGGCTAGAGACAGGTGGAGCCGCCGTCCTCCTTAGAAGGAGAAGAAAGATAGGTTTTCGAGGGCTAATCTGAAACTCCTGCGCCAAAGCAACCGGAACCAGGACCCCGCCTGGGGAGCGCGCTGAGAAACAGGGGAGGCGAGCACTGAGGGAAGGGATGGATGGTCGGGGTCACAGGCGGCCTCTGTGGGGATGTCGGGGTCCCGCCTGAGCCGCGCAGAGGATGTCCGCGGCGCGTCTCCGGCAGCCCCGACTTGGGCCTCCCGGGCGCAGCCGCCGGCCCCCTCGCACCCGCGCCCCAGGCCGCCACACAAAGGGGACGGCGAGGCGCGCCGGCCGCCGGGAGGTGGAGGGGCGACGGGCCTGGGACTAGGTGGCCGAGCCGCGACGGCCGCCGCGCCCCCCGCCTTTGTCTGCCTCGCCCCGCGCCCTACCCCCGCCGAGGAGCCCCACCGCCGCGGCGCCCTCACCCTGCTCGTTACCCGGGTGAGTAGCGGTCTCATCTGCTCGCCGGCCCCATCAGCCTCCATGGCCGGCCGGCCAGCCCGTGACGGCCGCTACGGTATTGCCCCGCGCGGTCTGCCTGCTTCTGCCGCTGCTGCCGCCGCCGCCGAGCCCCCGGCGCGCGAGGAGAAACGTGGGTGCGTCCGTGCGCGAGGTGTGCGCGCGTGGGGAGAGCCGGGCGCCGGGCGCGGGAGACGCGGGGCGTGCGTGTGCGCGCTGCGACCGCTGGGCTGGCTCTCGCAGAAGAGCGAGGCCGCGGCGTGGAACCTGGAGCTAGAACTGAGCGAACCGAAGGACCGAGCGGGAAGGAGGAGAGTCGCGTAGGAGGAGGGGTTCGGGGGCGGAGCCGCAAACCGTGACGAGCGCGGCCCCCGGGCCAGGCAAGACACGCCCTCCGCCCCGCCTCCTAGGGTCACGCCCCCTGCCAGTCTGGCACCGCCAGCCTCCTCAGCGCGCCCGCGGGCCGCGCCGCTAGGCCACCCGGAGATGGGGCGGGAGGGACGCGGAAAGGATATTTGTCCCAGCCAATCGGCGGCTGGCGGACTTCCGCCCAACTCCCCTGTGCCACCTCCTCAGGACGCCCCGCCCCTCTTTGTATAAGCTTAATTGACCGAAGCTGAGCGTCTAACTAGTTTTTCAAGTCGGAAGCTCCCCTGACGTTCTCAATGGGGTGGGGGGTCACCACCTCCCTTGGCTCCTAACTACATTCTTTAGAGACTGCAGGGAAGGAGGACTCCACCTCTCTCAAGGACGCCCAGGATAACCTCCGAAGCAACTAACGGGTCTTCACGACTCCTGAAAGTTTCTTTTCTGTAAGTCCAGTAGGCACAAACCCCAACTCGGGGACCGTGAAAGATGGGGTACACTTGACCAGGTGTCCTCCTGTGCTTGCTCGCCCACTGAGCACCATGACAGCTGCCACTTTTTTTTTTTTTGAGACGGAGCCTTGCACTGTCGCCCAGCCCAGGTTGGAGTGCAATGGCATGATCTCGGCTCACTGCAACCTCCGCTGCCTGGATTCAAGCTATTCTCCTGCCTCAGGCCCCTGAGTAGCTGGGACTACAGATGTGCGCCACCACCCCCAGCTACGTTTTGTATTTTTAGTAGAGACGGGGTTTCATCGTGTTGGCTAGGCTGGTCTGGAACTCCTGAGCTAAGGTGATCCACCCGCCTCGGCCTCCTGAAGTGCTGGGATTACAGGCGTGAGCCACCACACCCGGCCAGCTGCCACATTCTTGAGTCCACCCTGTAGGGCGTCTCTCAAATATCCCTTTTGTAACGGGATGATTCTAATACCTGCCACACAGGCTCATTGAAGGATTAAGGGGATTTCTATTCATAAAAGTGTCTGGCACATAGCATCCTGATAATTGTCATTATTGTTAACAGGTTTCTCTTGAGTGTTTCATAAAGATAGGGAGAGGTTTGGCCGGGCGCTTACGCCTGTAATCCCAGCAGTTTGGGAGGCCGAGGCTGGTGGATCACCCGAGATCAGGAGTTCGAGACCAGCCTGACCAACATGATGAAACTCCGTCTCTACTAAAAACACAAAAATTAGCCTGGCGTGGTGGCATGCGCCTGTAATCCCAGCTACTCAGGAGGCTGAGGCAGGAGAATCGCTTGAACCCAGGAGGCGGAGGTTGCAGTGAACTGAGATCACACCACTGCACTCCAGCCAGGGCGACAGAGCTAGACCCTGTCTCCAAAAAATAAAAAATAAAATAAAAAAAGATAAGGAGAGATTTAGTTGGAAAGAACTGAAGCCGTGCAATGGAAGGATATATAAATACATCAGCGGATCCGGAGCTCACATCCTATTCATCTCCACCAGGGTATTAGTACAGCTTTTTGTCAGCAATAGGTAGCTAGGTATGCTGGATGACTCATTCCTTGTTTGAGCCCTAGTCCCCTTTTGTCCTAAATTTCCCAGAGTTACTTCTAGTCCAGCACACATTGTTCACTTACTTGTACAAGAGCAGATGTGCCTCTATTAATAGCTACTATGTAAAGAGGCCTACAATTAGAGACTGTGACATTTGGCAAACATATTTCATCTCTAATCCTCACAATACTGCAAAATATCTGCCGTCCTCTTTTTCTTCAGTGAGGCGGCCGAGCTGCAGACGCAGAGATGCAGATCTTTGTGAAGACCCTTACGGGCAAGACCATCACTCTTGAGGTCAAGCCCAGTGACACCAATGAGGATGTCAAAGCCAAAATTCAAGACAAGGAGGGTATCCCACCTGACCAGCAGCATCTGATACTTGCCGGCAAACAGCTGGAGGATGGCCGAACTCTCTCAGACTACGACATCTGGGAAGAGTCCACCCTGCACCTGGTGCTGCGCCTGCGAGGTAGCATTATTGAGCCTTCCCTCCGCCAGCTCTTCCAGAAACGCAACTTTGACAAGATGATCTGCCGCAAGTGCTATGCTTGCCTGCACCCCCATGCTGTCAACTGCTGCAAGAAGTGTGACCACACCAACAACCTGCACCCCAAGAAGGTCAAGGCTCTTCCTTCCTCGAAGGGCAGCCTCCCTGGAGCCTCAATAAAGTGTCTCTTTCGTTGACTGGAGCAGCAAAAACAAACAAACAAAAATACTACAAAATATGTTATAGCTCCATTTTACAGATGAGGAAGCTGAAACTCACAGGAATAACTGATTTTAAGTTCTGGTGAGTGGAACTACTCTTACTATGGCACCATTCTTATTTATTTATTTTTGAGACGGAGTCTCACTCTGTTGCCCACGCTGGAGTGCGGTGGCACCATCTCGGCTCACTGCAACCTCCGCCTCCCAAGTTCAAGCGATTCTCCTGCCTCAGCCTCACAAGTAACTGGGATTACAGGTACCTGCCACCACGCCCAGCTAATTTTTTATATTTTTAGTAGAGATGGGGTTTCATCATGTTGGCCAGGCTGGTCTAGAACTCCTGACCTCAGGTGATCCACCTGCCTCAGCCTCCCAAAGTGCTGAGATTACAGGTGTGAGCCACTGCGTCTGGCTATAACATTCTATATATTTTATGACTTATTATGCTTATTGTCTACACACACACACACACATGCACAAATGCGAGCTCCATGTAAGCTTCATGTGTACAGCAAACTTGGTTTTTGGTTTTTGGTTTTTTTCTCAGATATCCCTGTGTCTACCTGAGTGTTTGGCCCTTGTAAACTCTCAGCACATGTGTTAAATGAGGAAATGTACAGGTGGGGTAATACATCTGTTCTTAAAACCTAAGAGCATCTTAGGTGACAGCTGAGGATGTGGCCATAGTAACAAGAACAAAGTAGGAGTCAAGAACCATGGTGCCAGAGTTGAAAGTGTTAAGTAGTCAACTTCAAGAAGGTCTTAAAAATACATGCTTGGCAGACCTTGCTAAACAATGAATTTCTGTTCATCTATCTTGCAAGAAGAAAAAACTATTGGTTTATTTAATCCACAAATATTTTTTTAGTGATGTCTTTGTTGCCATGCACTTTTTCCACTCCTCATTTCATCCCAACTGCTAGAAGAGAAATGTAGCAAAGATCTGAATTATAAAATTTATCACTCAGTTGCCCACTTAATTCAACCTCAGCCAAAGTTCATTCAAGAAGATAATGTGTTAAAATTGCTTTCGTGCAACTAGAGATGGCTATAAAGTGTTCCAAGGTGCTGAAAGGTAAATTGTATTCTCGAATATTTTAAATATTCATCTGGGGCCAGGTGCAGTGGCTCACGCCTGTAATCTCTACACTTTGGGAGGCCAAGGTGGGCAGATCACCTGAGGTCAGGAGTTTGAGACCAGCCTGGCCAACACGGTGAAACCCTATCTCTACTAAAAATACAAAAATTAGCTGGGCATGGTGGCAGGCACCAGTAATCCCAGCTACTCAGGAGTCTGAGACAGGAGAATTGTTTGAACCCGGGAGGCCAAGGTTGCAGTGAGCCGAGATTACACTATTGCACCCCAGCCTGGGCGACAGGTTCAGACTCCGTCTCAAATAATAATAATAATAATAATAATAATAATAATAATAATGTGAAATGTGGCACAGGGAAACATTTACTAAACAAAGGCAAATGTAAACCTAAATTCATCAGTAGCAATGAAGTGGTAGTACCTAAAGTTAATGAGTTTTAGCTGTATCCTAATTTCAGAATACTTCCTGAGTATCTGGAGCAGTAGGTAATCCTACAGACCTCTTGGCAACATTTCCATCCTGAGGAGTGAATAATCTTCCCAAGAACAATTCTCTATAGGCCAAGGTATAGTTTATAAAGACAGAGAGCAGCTTCTTTGGCATTTTGAAAAGCATGAAACCATTCTTTTCTTTTTCGAGGCAGAGTTTCACTCTTGTCCAGGCTGGAGTGCAATGGCTCGATCTTGGCTCACTGCAACCTCTGCCTCCCAATTCAAGCAATTCTCCTGCCTCGACCTCCCAAGTAGGTAGGATTACAGGTATGCACCACCACGCCTGGCTAATTTTGTATTTTTAGTAGAGACAGGGTTTCTCCATGTTGGTCAGGCTGGTCTCGAACTTCCGACAACATCAGGTAATCTGTCCACCCCGGCCTCCCAAAGTGCTGGCATTACAGGCGTGAGCAACTGCACCTGGCCACGTGAAACCATTCTTAACTTTTAGCAGAGGGTTCTTTGGCAACTATATGTATCTTCATTGCCTCTTCTTGGTCATAGATAAAATTTAAATGTTTTCTATCATCTGATCCTATAAGGAAAAGTAAAATCATTGGAATAGTGTTTTCAAGAGCACCAGAGCAGCCTCAATGGGGCAAAGACGCAAGGAAAATGACTTCATTGTTCTTCATTTCTATAGGCTAGGCATACAGATAAATATTCAAAAGATGAAGAAATAAAAACAAAAACAGACCTTGTCCCTGGTCTCATGGAGTTCAGAGTGCAAAACACCAATATATAAACAACTATCAACAATGCAATGCGTGTAGTTCTGAGTCCTAGGAACCTCAATGAAAGAAATCGAATGAATTCCACTGAGGGTGGGAGGGGATAAGACTGCCCTCTGTGGGACAAAGGTGAATATGAAGATGTTTGGAAAAGCTACAGAGAAATGTAGTAGATTTAAACTGATTCATGATGGTATATGTGGTATAATATAAAACATATTTGGTTTTGTCCTAGGTTCCTATTATAGCACTTTTAAAACCTTTAGAATTTCCTGAGTGATAGCAGTGTCTTTTGTTATTCAAAACAAGACACTTTCATAACTTCTGAGTCTATGCTAACTAATGTGGTTACCTACAGTGGGACCACTAGATAGTCCAGTCACCAGAAATGGGGTCAGTCGCCAGAAAGACCAATTGATTAGAGGATTAGAGGCCTGGAATGTTCAGCCCCACCTACCAACCTTTTGATAGAAAAATAAACTAGTAATCATCAATATGTCAGTCAAGGGAGATTGGTTACTTCTATTTTATTACTACAAATGATGAAATGCAATTTATGATTAAAAAGAATGAGTTAGACAGGTGTGCTGAGAAGGAAAGGGTTTCAAAATATATTGTGAATATTATTAAGTTACAGAAAAAGACAAAGTTAAGTAACAAAAGGGTATACTATGATTCCTTTTACAAGCTAAAAAAATTATATATCTATGTATCTATTCCCTTCTGGAAGTAAGTTAAGACACTTTTAAGAGTGAGTATCATTGGAGGTGAGGGTATCTATCTTATTGTACTTTTAACTTTTTTGAGACAGGGTCTTGCTCTGTTACTGAGTGCAATTGTGTGGTCACAGCTCACTGCAGCCTCAACCTCGCAGACTCAAGCAATCCTCCTAACTCAAACCTCCTGAGTAGGGATCACAGGCACGAGCCACTAACTCAGCCAATTTTTTTTTTTTGGTAGGGACAGGGATCTCACTATGTTGCACAGGCTGGTCTAAAACTCCTGGGCTCAAGCATCCCTCTTGCCTCAGCCTCCCAAAATGCTAGGATTATAGGTGTGAGCCACCACACCTGGTTTTGTTTTTGTTTTTATTTTTTTTGAGACAGAGCCTCTCTCACCAGGCTGGAGTGCAGTGGCGCTATCTCAGCTCACTGCAACCTCTGCTTCCTGGGTTCAAGAGATTCTCCTGACTGAGCCTCACAAATAGATATGACTAGAGGTGTATGCCACCACACCCGGCTGATTTTTTGGTTTTTGGTTTTTTTTTTTTTCCGAGACAGAGTCTTGCTCTGTCACCAGGCTGGAGTGCAGTGTCGTGATCTTGGCTCACTGCAACCTCTGCCTCCCGGTTCAAGCGATTCTTGTGCCTCAGCCTCCTAAGTAGCTGGGATTACAGGTGCCCACCACCACACCTGTCAAATTTTTTTTTTTTTTTTGAGACGGAGTCTCGCTCTGTCGCCCAAGCTGGAGTACAATGGTGCAATCTCAGCTCACTGCAACCTCTGCCTCCTGGGTCCAAGTGATTCTCCTGCCTTAGCCTCTTGAGTAGCTGGGATTACAGGCATGCGCCACCACACCTGGTTAATTTTTGTATTTTTAGTAGAGACAGGGTTTCACCATGTTGCCAAGGCTGGTCTTGAACTCCTGACCTCAAGTGATCCACCCGCCTCAGTCTCCGATAGTCCTGGGATTTTTTGTATTTTTAGTAGAGACGGTGTTTCACTATGTAGGCCAGGCTGCTCTTGAACTCCTTGCCTCAAGTGATCCACCTCCCTTGGCCTCCCAAAGTGCTAAGATTACAGGTGTGAGCCACTGCCTCCAGCCACCTGGTCTTTTTATAGGTTAATATTAATGAAAATTGTATCGACAGTAAAAACAAAGGTCATATATTGTTTCTTTATGTTTAAAAACCTTTTATGGCTGGAGGTGGTGGCTCATGACTGAAATCCCAGCATTTTCAGAGGCCGAGGAGGGCGGATCACTTGAGGTCAGGAGTTTGAGACCACTCTGGCCAACATGGCAAAACCCTATCTCTATTAAAAATACAAAAAAAAAAAAAAAAAAAAATTGTTGGGCATAGTAGCTGGTAATCCCAGCTACTAGGGAGGCTGAGGCAGGAGAATTGCTTGAACCTAGGGGGCGGAGGTTGCAATGAGCACCACTGCACTCCAGCCTGGGCGACAAGAGTGAAACTCCATCTCAAAAAAAAATGTATTAAATAACATTTCATTTTTGATGTTACATATTTTTAAGTGTAATGTAGGTAAGTTATACAATGAGATTTGATTTATCCTTACCTTCACATTTTAAGAAGTAACCTATTTGGTAGAGTCTTCTATTGGTACTTCAAAAATTCTCTTTTAGGACGGGCACAGTGGCTCACACCTGTGATCCCAACACTTCGCAGGGCTGAGGCAGGCAGATCACCTGAGGTCAGGAGTTCAAGACCAGCCTGGCCAACATAGGGAAACCCCGTCTCTACTGAAAATACAAAAATTAGCTAGGCGTGGTGGTGCGCGCCTGTAATCCAGCTACTCTGCAGGCTGAGGCAGGAGAATCACTTGAACCCAGGAGGCAGAGGTTGCAGTGAGCTGAAGTCTCACCACTGCACTCTAGCCTGGGTGACAGAGCAAGACAGTCTCAAAAAAAAAAAAAAAAAGCCCTTTTAATCATTTCCCAGTATGCTCTCTAATCAACGAAGTTCTCACTTAAGAAGAATAGAAATTTTGTATTATCACAACAATATAAAACATCACCTTAATTTTTTTTTTTTTTTTTTTTCAGACGGAGTCTCACTCTGTCACCTAGGCTGG